AACTGAAGAATTAAATTTGTTTATTTGGGTGTTTTAGCTCTTTTCTCTGGAGCGGAAACTTACGCAAATGAGCTCATTAATCAATGAGGGGGAAAACAACATGATTCGATGATTAGTCGGCTCAAGGAAAAATCTGTCAAATCAGATTCGACTTTGAAAATTCTTAGTGGTGTGCTGCTTTCGTTATCTGGAAGAGGAAGGCTGGAAAGAGCTGTGGTTCCAGGTGCAGTCTTTGTTGTGTTCCTCATTCCAAATGTGCAGATCTGAGGACGCTGGTCGCTTGGGGTCTTTGCAGAGTTAGACGCTGGGGTGCTAACTCAACTTGGTTCTCCTTGTTGCTGGAAAGTTAGCTGCAAACCTTGTGTTTGCACACTAATTTCTCTGGTACCAGGTTCTGGCCCTGTTGTGGGCATGCAGGTCATGGTCCAGGAGAAAGAGAACAAAAGTCTGTAGAGCAATTGTCCTCCCCATAGTGGTTCTGGGGCAAGGGCCTCTGAGCTGGTCAGAGCCCAGGAGGAAGAGGTCTGAACAGGTCAAGGGTCCAGGAGCAAGAGAGAGACTGTCTGGGCTGGCCAAGGCCCAGGAGGAAAGAGGACAGACTGTGGGTTCATCCCAATACCATATCTTGCATCCACTTTTCCCTCACTTGCATCTCTCTCCTGCATCTTAGCTCTGCCCTTGTAGGACACATAAGGGAGACATGCGAGGATGAGACGCGTGGAGAGAAGAAACAGAGGAAATACGACTTTAGAGAAATGAGACGTCTTTTCCTCCGAAGCATCACCTGAAACGACGTCAGTTTGTGATGACGGCGGCAGCTGATTACAGCTGAATCAGCTGTAATAGAGGCTTTATTAACAGCTATAGAAAGTTTTAATGGAGTTTGTGTCTGCACACACATAATGTTATATATATACATGATGAATATACAAATACACTTATCAGTAACAGAGCAGCAGTGTTTTCTCTCTGTCTAACAATCACCTGCACATGAAAAACAATCTGCATTATAATATGTACTGTATCCTGCTCAGTATCACACAATGTGTATTTGATTTATTCATTATTTGCCTCTGTATTTATTGATATTTTGATTGTGAGTTCAACACTGTAAATAATTTATTAGGTCAGATGTTTCCTGGAAAATTAAAATACTGTAACTCATCAGCCTAATGCTCAGGAATGATGCCTCAGCTGTGACTGAATGGAAATGACGATGACTGATGTTAAAGTGTTTCTTGATGACAGACAGACTCTGACAGACAGACTGTCCGACATTGATTGTATCCAAAATTAAAGGTGATGATGAAAATAACAGATCATAAAGAGAAAAATCTTTCTAATAAATGAAGAAAGGTAGTTTCCTTTGGTGCTGTCTAATTGATTTCTGTTGGCGTGCTGTCTTGTGGGCCTGCACGGCGGAGTGATACTGGCCAGAAAATAGTCCCAATTGATAGCAAGGTCTGACGTAATGCGGGGATGTTTTAAAATTATTGAAATAGTCTAACAAAACACATGCATACTTTTTTGTAGCTTAAAACCTTTTGGTTATGTGCCCCCCTTATATCTTAAGAACTACTTTTTCTCCGGTAAGCTACGGGCAGTTTCTCAGAGCAGGAGGCCCGTTGACAGTAGTGACACCGTCACATCAGAGCTACAGATGGTCAGCATTTCACACAACTTCATGTCCAAAAACCCAAACTATCCCTTTAACAAATGACAAATCATCTGTGGTCCAGTGAATCCCAACAGGGGTTAAAAAAATTTTAATGAAAATTCTGGATATAATGAGACAACTATTTTTTCCATCCTCAGAGGATGGAGTTGCTCAGTTGTCACAGAGATGCATCATTTTTTATTAGGTGACCTACTTATTGATCTCAGTAATGTGATAAATGGCAGTCAGTTTCAACTAAATAAATCAATGCAAACAAAAACTGAAAAAATGTATTGGGAGTTGATGGTCTATTGCCGCATTGATTGGTTTAAGATGCAAGGTAATGTGGAGAAAATATTCCAAATATAGCTTACACTCATACTGATACTGCTTTTTTTTTTAGTTTGGTCTTTTTAGGTTTCTGCAGTATGTTTTGCTGTGCCCCAATCCACAACAGTACATTGCTTAGCTTCCATTCATCAAAGCCATTTGCAAAGCAGCACACTACATAAAATAAACATAGCAGAACAGGTAGGACCCCCTCATTTAACTATATATATTTAAATGTGACAGTTACGGCTGAATATGACAATAAAAATAAACAAGTTTGCCAGTTTCACATATCTCCACAATTAAATTTTATTTCCAGTTCCTCCTGGAATAATTGTGGTTGTTAGTGCAGCCAAACCTGTAACATGGTAACTGCATTCAAAATGATTAAAGATGGCAACAGCTGTAGCCTCAGAATGCTTAGAAGACAAAACCAATTTAATGACAAAAGACTTAGATTTTCTAAAATTTACAAAGGGGACACGATAAAAAATGTTTGAGAATCACGATGTTAAACAGGTATAGGTAGGCAGCTGGTTAGGCAGGCATTACAGGCGTCAAGTATTACTCGCAAAATATCTAGTCAGGGAGATTGCAGGATCCAGGTATCTGGATGATCCAGTACATATCAAAGATGCACAGCAGGAACACCTACACACTGGTACCGGTCTATAAACTTATAGATTGCAGAGGTTTCTGCACTGGAATGGTATGATGTATGTAAAAAAGACAAAACGTCAGTTTAAATTCGGATTTCAGAACACAAAAGCACTATCAGGAGACAAGTTGTAACTTCTACTTTAACAAAACATTTGCCATAACACAGTCCAACTATTTCTAGTATACCCTTCCAAAGCAATGAGAAAGTGCATTACAGGAAGCGAGGTAGCAATCTGGATCTATTACTTTTGAAACATAAAGCATTTTGGATAAATACACTGTCACCAGCTGTTGAGCTCATTAGTTGGATTACAGACAGGCAGTTAACAGTTCACGTGGTGCTCAGTATTACCTGACCCCATGCTGAGAAGTGTTGTGTGCAGAAATGAGAAATGTGAGTTATGTGTCCCAGTTATGTAGAGGCTCACAGAGTAATGCGCTCAAAACAGAATGGCTCATTGACTTTCACACAGTTATCAAAAAAAAGAGCAGTGTGCAGGTTTGTGTTGCATTCAGTGCACCATGACTGCCAGATGAAATGGGAAACTTAGAGCAGTCCAGTTGTTCAATGTGGTATCCTACATCAATCACCAACTCTGGTTTAGTTAAAATAAAACCTTATTCATCCAGTTAGATATCAAAATATGCTGGCTTTATACACGTTAAAATTACTTTTTTATTTAAATAGAGTCTGGTGGGTTTAGCAACAGCAATTTCAGGGCTGTTTTGGGCCACACAAAAAGGATCTTACTCTCTCACACTAAGGTTTCAATAATGTTGTTACACACTTACAATTATAATCTGAGCTTGTCCATGGCAAAAAAAATCACTTTTAGTTGGGCTGGGTGATATGTACAAAAATTTATATCTGTACTTTCAGGATGAATGGCGATACATGATATATATCAATGTTTTTTTATGAAATGGGCTACATGTTCAGTTGCAAGTCAGAGCCATATTTGAGATGTCACAAGTACTTTTTATATAAACAGAGTGTGATCAAAATAAAATGCAAAGACAGGTATTTTTTCCCCTGTTTGAAAATATATAGCTGCACAACATGGAAATGAAAAATGATATAAAATGAATAGCAGGGTTGTACATTAATTTTTTGCATATAGCCTACAGAGGTTTAAAGGTACAGCATGGTACAGAAAACCAGAACATAAGTATAAAAGTATCAAATCAGCCTAAATCCATTGAAGTTTGACACAATTAAAAATCTTTGTGGGAGGAGATAAAAACATGTTTTTTTTCAGGGCCTTTCAAATGAATCTTGGGCTGGAAAATGATTTAAATCTTTTTATTTATTTAGGCTATTTATCTTATTAATGCACAGAGCATCAACAGAGAGGCCGAGAGAAGGAAGGCGTGAGAGACATTTTGTCCTCATTATATACGTCTATATGAAGTGAAACTTTCTGTCGCTACATTTTTAACACATCTGCTGCCTGCATCCAGGCGCTGTCTTAATGTCACACAACTACAATTAAGAGCGTTGATGCGCTATGATCCACCTCACACACAAACTAGCAAACAAAAGCTCACCTTACACAATCAAGCAGCTCTGTCTCCCACACACGCAGCGCAACCCTGTACTGCATGTACTGTATGCTACTGTGGTCACTTCATTCATCTCACAGACTGATTTAGCGCAGCATGTGCAACATCAGGACTGATGACTAAGACTGACGATAGACTCATTAACAGACAGAATAAACAGAGGAGCAGCTCTGTGTCTCTCTTAGTGTTGCTGGAGAACTTGTGAGTGAGTGAGTGGGGCGGAGCTGTGCGGATATTTTGAGAGAAGAGAGATGCACACTGGCACGGCTTTTCAGAAGAACAGCGTTACGTAACACAACTTCACCCTATATCACTATAAATGTTATTGTCTAAATCTATGTCTTGCTTAAAAATATATCGATTTATTGTACGTAGTCGTTATGTCACCCAGCCCTAACTTCTAGTGGACATACATTGAGGGTGTGCACTTGCCCCACATGATTACACTGCAGCCTGTTTTGCTGCTGCAGACTAAAGCCCTCTCACTTAATACTGGACCATTTTCAAAAGTTGCTGTTCCCATTTCACCATGTATTTTTTGGAATGTAAATGCTAAAGCATCCTGATGCATTCCCAATAGGACATGGTGGATGTATAGTGACAATGTGCTAATTCTCTATGATAACTTGATCATTTTCCAACGAGTTGGACAATTTGTGACCTGACCGTCTGCCATTTTGTTCTATGAAAGGAGTTGTGTGTGCTGAAAGCGATATCTCCATATCTGGATTGAGTGACCAACAGGCAGACATTGCCAAAACTGAAATGACATCTTCTGTTTTTGCTGCAGAATACCAAGAAGAGGAAACTAGAAGATGGAGTCACTGATGTAAGCTGGCAAGGTAAAAACAAAAGATGAGAATTTCAGAGAAACATTTGTGCTGACGGACTTGTGTTTGATCAAAGTTAAGCAGCAGTGTGAGAACTTGACCCGGCAGCAACATTCCTCTTTGATGAAAAGAAGAGTTTTGGTTGTGTGGACTGTGGATGCTGTTTGGTTCCAGAGGGAACAAAAATGCTGGTGATGCCAGAGGGGATGCTGAAATGTAACACCAAGCTGGTGGACCTGATTGAACGAGTCAAACCAGAGATCAGGACACTGATTGAGAAGTGTAACACAGTAAGCCTCTGCACACACACACACACACACACACACACACACACACAAAAGGAATCCATCTGTTCACAGTGTACAGATATGTCAGAGTTGAGTCATCTTGTCTCCACACTCTGTCAGGTGAAGACGTGGGTCCAGCTGCTCATCCCCAGAATAGAAGATCGGGACAACTTTGGAGTCTCCATACAGGTCCGTCCTCACTGACTGACATATTTCTGGAACAGACACGAGGCTACAAACGTGGTGGATTAAAAAGAGTGTCCTGTATGGGGATGTCAATGGTTAACTGCCAAGAATATTTTTGACCAGTTACGCATTTTGGATTCTATGTTAATTCTGCTTTCTCTTACTGCACTGCACACCACCAGGGTCTGGGTGGAGCTAGCTATCAGTGCCGCTTATTCAGTGATTACTGCTACACTGCACCCTAACTGGCACCTCCTCCTCGTGCTGGTCACCAGCCTGGTCACACACTGCTGTGGGATAGCATCCCAAACCAGCATTTGTCACAAGTCAGCCAACATGGTTGTGTTGGTCACTCTGACACGAACAGCACGCCCAAGCTGATCCCACAAGTGTTCAATGGAGTTGATGTCAGGACTGCTGGCAGGCCATTCCATCCTCTCCACTCCCAAATTCGCCGCCCCGGCTCTGTTTCCTCACTGGAATACGTGTTGGTGGGATTGAAGAGCTCCTCAAAGTATTCCTTTCACCGCCCGACAGTGTCCCCACTTGACGCTCCCCGCCCCTACTGTAAACAATGTGAGCAAGTTGTCGCCTTCCCCCCCTGAGGCACTGGACGGTTTGCCAGAACCTCTTTGGAGCCGATCGATAGTCTTTCTCCATGGCCTCACCGAACTCCTCCCACGCCCGAGTTTTTGCCTCTGCAACTGCCGCTGCTGCACTCCGCTTGGCCCGCCGGTACCTGTCAGCTGCTTCTAGAGACCCACAGACCAACCATGCCCTGTAGGTCTCCTTCTTCAGCCTGACGGCTCCCCTCATCTCTGGTGTCCACCAGCGGGTTTGTGGCCTTGTGGCCACAGCTCGCAACAGCCGCCTTGACAATGGCAGAGCGGAACAAGGCCTATTCGGACTCAATGTCCCCCTCTGCCCTTGGGACGTGGTCGAAGCTCTCCCGGAGGTGGGAGCTGAAGATCATCTTGACAGGTTCTTCCGCCAGGCGTTCCCAGCAGACCCTCACTGCTTGTTTGGGCCTGCCAGGTCTGCGTGGCGTCCTCCCCTGCCACCTGATCCAACTCACTACCAGGTGGTGATCAGTTGACAGCTCTGCTCCCCTCTTCACCCAAGTGTCCAAAACATATGGTCGCAGGTCAAATGATACGACTACAAAGTCAATCACTGACCTGCGACCTAGGCTGTCCTGGTGCCACGTGCACCGATGGACATCCTTATGCTCGAACATGGTGTTAGTTATGGCCAAACTGCGACCCGCACAGAAGTCCAATAACTGAACACCACTCGGGTTCAGATCGGGCAGGCCGTTCCTCCCAATCACGCCCCTCCAGGTCCAGCTGTCATTGCCCACGTGAACGTTGAAGTCCCCCAGCAGAACAATGGAGTCCCCGCTCGGGGCACTGTCCAGCACCCGTCCCAAGGACTCCAAAAAGGGCGGGTACTCTGAACTGCTGTTCGGCGCATAAGCGCAGACAACAGTCAGGACCCGAAGGCGCAGGGGAAGGCACAGGGACGCAACCCTTTCGTCAACTGGGGTGAACCCCAGAGTACAGGCAGAGAGTCTGGGGGCTATCAGAAAGCCCACCCCGGCCCTCTGCCTCTCACCCGGAGCAACTCTAGCAAAGGAGAGAGTCCAGTCCCTCTCAAGGACTTGGGTTCCAGAGCCGGAACTATGTGTCAAGGTGAGGCTGACTATATCTAGCCGGTAGCGCTCAACCTCTTCCACAAGCTCCGGCTCCTTCCCCGCCAGAGAGATGACATTCCATGTCCCAAGAGCCAACTTCCATAGCCGAGGATCGGACTGCCAAGGCCCCCGCCTTGGTCTGCTGCCAAGGACAGTTGGCTGGTCACACTGCACCGAACCCTTCTGGATCCCTCTGCGGGTGGTGGGCCTGCAGGGGGACGAGCCCATGTAGCCGGTTCGGGCTGGGCCCGGCCGGACCCCATGGGCGAAGGCCCGGCCACCAGGCACTCGCCCACGGGCCCCAGCCCCAGGCCTGGCTCCAGGGTGGGGCCCCGGTAACCCTCCGGGCCGGGTACGCCAGCTCTTGTTATTTTCCATCATGAAGGGTCTTTTGAACCATTCTTCGTCTGACCCTTCGCTCAGAACCAATCTGCCATGTGAAACCCTACCAGGGGCGAAATGCCCCTGACAGCTCAGCTCATAGGGTCATTAGGGCACTCAACCTCCTCCACCACGATAAGGTGACGGTTCTCGGAGAAAGAAATTCAGAAAAAAAAAAAAAAAAAAAAAAAAAAAAAAAGTTCAAAACATTTGGCCCCAATATAGCTCCACAGGAATTGTTTTTTTGTTTGTTTGTTTGTTTGTTTGTTTTGGTGTGTGTGTATATGGGGCATTTTACCGATTTTGTGCAAAGTGCTGTGCCTTAACAATAAAACAACAAAAATAATAAAATTGAGTATTCAGACATAGATATTTACAAAGATTATGTTATGACCTATTTAAACCCAGGACATTAAATGAAAAAGTGATACGCTAAATATATACAAAATCACCATTTATAGGGTACTTTCTATTGGGAAGTAGCTGTCCCCAACCCTGACCTCTAAAATTCAATTCATGTAAATAACACTTAAAACATTTTTCATATTTTTTTCAAAAGTCTAATTTAAAACATCTTTGTGATTAAGTTTAAACATTAGTTGAAAGATTTAGGTGTATTGTGGAATTATTTTTAAATTAAGAAACTATGTTTAAAAAATAGTGTCCCTTGTTTTCATGTCACTGCCGAAATGCAAGAGTTTTAATGCACTGGTTGAGTCTGGATTTTAGCCACACCCCTGAATTTCTGAGAAGGGGGGTAGTACCGCACCCCTGTCCCACATGGCTGCATGGTAAGTTGCTGACTCCCATCATTTTTTAAATAAATGTCTTCCAAAGTCTGAAAATCAGTGTGTAACTTTTAAAATTGTCACTACTGAACACGTTCTCTTCAAGTATGTAAAAATTTGGGGGGTTTATGCAAAATATTATGTTTTTCTGTGTGAACAACTCACACTGCTCTGCTCTACTCGGCTCTGCTCTACTTTGCTCTACTCTGCTCTGTTCTACTCTGCACTACTCTATTCTGCTCTACTCTGTTCTTCTCTGCTCTACTTTGTTCTACTCTACTATACTCTGCTCTGTTCTACTCTGCTCTACTTTGCATTACTCTGCTCTACTCTGCTCTACTATACTCTTCTCTACTCTACTATGCTCTACTCTATTCTGCTCTGCTCAATTCTACTATACTCTGCTCTATTCTATAATCTGCTCTACTCTACTCTACTCTACTATGCTCTGCTCTACTCTACTCTATTCTGCTCTGGTCTACTCTATTCTATTCTGCTCTGCTTTGCTCTACTCTACTATGCTCTGCTATACTCTATACTCTGTTCTACTCTGCTCTACTTTGCTCTACTCTGCTCTACTCTACTGTACTCTGCTCTGTTCTACTCTGCTCTACTTTGCTCTACTCTGCTCTGTTCTACTCTGTTCTACTCTGCTCTACTTTGCTCTACTCTGCTCTACTCTACTATATTCTGCTCTACTATACTCTGCTCTACTCTACTTTGCTCTGCTCTGCTCTGCTCTACTCTACTATGCTCTATTCTACTATACTCTTCTCCACTATACTATGCTCTGCTCTGCTGTGCTCTACTCTACTCTACTCTGCACTACTCTGCTCTACTATACTCTGCTCTGTTCTACTCTGCTCTACTTTGCACTACTCTGCTCTACTATACTCCATTCTGCTCTGCTCTACTCTACTATACTCTGCTCTATTCTATAATCTGCTCTACTCTTCTCTACTATGCTCCTCTCTACTCTATTCTGCTCTGCTCTACTCTGGTCTACTCTATTCTGCTCTGCTTTGCTCTACTCTACTATGCTCTGCTATACTCTATACTCCGTTCTACTGTGCTCTACTTATATATTATTACTTAAACACACACACATTGTTAAAATTGATATTAAATACCTATACCTATATACATATATATATATATATATATATATATATATATGTATGTGTGTGTATATATACAGACGTGAAAAAAATAGGACACCCTATGAAAGCCTGTGTGTGTTTTTTTTTTTTTTGTTTTGTTTTTTTATTTACATATTTGGACATATGGGTATTTAATATCAATTTTAACAATTCTGAGAGATTCAAGTAATGTAACTGAACAATTAAAACTGAAGACTTTTTAAAACTTTCTGTAAAATGTAATTTAAAAACAATGCAATATCTGGTGAGGAATAAATTAGGACACCCCCACATTTATTTCCACTTAAAATGGCTAAAATCACACACAGTTGTATCACATCAGGTGCACGTGATTAGAACAATGTTACTCAGCATTTTGAGGGAGGCTTGCCCTATTTAAACCTCAGACATTTAGTTTGGTGTGCTCCTGACTTATGAAGTGAGAGTGAACACCATGCTGAGATCAAAAGAGCTTTCTGTTGCCATCAGACAGATGATTGTAGCAGCTTATGAGTCTGGTAAGGGATTTAAAAGAATTTGAAATCAGCCATTCCACTGTCTGGATAATAGTCTACAAGTGGAGGACATTCAAAACAACTGCCAACATGCCCAGGTCTGGCTCATATTGATCCCACTGAGATACTGTGGGGTGATTTGAAACGGGCTGCACATGCAAGAAACCCCTGAAACATCTCACAGCTGAAAGAATTCTGTGCTGAGGAGTGGGGCAAACTTTCTGATGTCAGAGACTGGTAGATGGCTACAAGAAGTGTCTCACTGAAGTTATTTCAGCCAAAGGGGGTAACACTAGCTATTAGGGGGTAGGGTGTCCTAACTTTTTCTTCTAATTTAGTAGTCTTTAATGATTTGGTACTGTGAACGACAACGCAAATGCTAATGCTAGTTTGCTAACTAGCTAATTTGCAGTCGTCATTTCCAGTAAATGCACAACGGCTGTGTTTGGTTTGAGACAACACTACCCTGTTGAAATTCACACACTATACCAATAAGTACATA